TTTTAAAAAACAGGCAAAGGATTTGAATAGATATTTTTCTAAAGAAGATACCCAAATGGCAAATAAGCACATGAAAAGATGCTCAACATCATTAGTCATTAGGAAAACGCAAATCAAAACCACAATGAGACACCATTTCATACCAACTAGGATGGCAGGACCAAAAAGAAGGGGAACTAACAAGTTGGCAAGGGTGTGGAGAAACAGGAACCCTCATACACTGCTGGTGGGAGTGTAGAATGCTGCCATTCCTGGAAAAGTTTGGCACAAGCATCCTCCCACCTGAGCCTTAAGTAGATGGAACTACAGGGGTGCACCAGCACACCTGGCTAATTTTTGTATGTTGTAGAGACAGGGTTTTGTTTGCCATGTTGCCCAGGCTGGGCTCGAACTCCTGGGCTCAAGTGATCTGCCCACCTCAGCCTCCTAAAGTGCTGGGATTATAGACCATCATGCCCTACCTTTACAGCAGCATTATTCATAACAGCCAAACAGTAGAAATATTCCAAATGTCCATCAATAGATGAGTAAATAAAATGTGATATATTCATACAATAGAATATTATTCAGCAATAAAAAGGAATTAAGTACTAAGATATGCTACAACATGGATGAACTATGAAAACCTTATGCTAAGTACACTGCCATATTCTAAAGGCCACCTATTATATAATTCCATTCAAATGAAATTTTCAAAATAGGCAAATCCACAGACAGTGTTTGCCAGAGGCTGTGAGGAGGGGTAAATGGGGAATGCCTGGTAACGTGTAAGAGGGTTTCTTTGGGGGGTGATGAAAATGTTCTAGAATTAGTGATGATGGCTGCACAGTTCTAATATACTGAAAACTCTGCATTGTACAATCAAAAATGGTGAACTTTATGGTATGTAAATTACATCTCATTTTTTAAAAAGTGGCCTACTTTACAGGAAAAAAACGAGTCATGCTAACTAAAATCAACTCCTTCTTCTACTTAAGCATGCCTTCTCTCTTCTCTTTTTACTCCAAACCAAATCTCTGAGGTCACAACTGTTCAATACTATTGTCAAAGGAATGCTTTACATACCCTTGTGTATTTGTAAGGTGACAAGTTTCACAATTCCTTCCCTTTTCCAAATAATTCAGTCCATCCAAGATCAAAGAACCAGCAGAAAAAATAAAATAAAAAATAATAACTCAGTCCAGAAAAAATTAAGTGGTCTGAGCAAGACCAGCATCTACAGAGGGAGAGGCTAGAGACTGGTTCCATACATGCCGAGTGATCAATACAGTAAACCTACTGGTGATAATCATAGCCTGGTTTCTGTAGTAGACGAGAACCACAAACATGGAAAGAGAAAAAAAACTACAAGTCCTGTAGTGTTAGACTGGAATTTCAATTATTTATGGGTGTTGAAGTCATGGTAGTTTTTTTTTTCTCTCTCTGTATTTTATATATATATATATATATATATATATATATATATATATATATATATAATATACACATATATATATATATACACACATATAATGTAAACACATATTTATAGAAGTCTTATTTCCTTGGCTGTATTGAGTTATGAAGTGTGCTTACTTACAGAAAACATACACTAAAAAATTCAGGTGTGATGGGACATCTTAACTCTCTTTCACATGGTCCCAGAAAAATGGTTATTTACACTATCTTTGCAACTGTCTGTAAATGTGAGTTTGTTTCAACTATGAAATATGTGTACGTGAACATAGAATGACCCAGTCTAATAAAAAGTAAACAATTTAAAAAATGGTACTTAGATTAGATGTCTATATAAGAAGAAAAGTGAACTTTGGCCTCACTGATTTACTAATTTTGGTTATCTCCATGATGACTCCATAACTCTATAGTCATAGATGTTCTGGGCTAATCTACAGTAACCAATAAACTAAAATTTGGCACATTAATTTTATATATATGGACATGCCATATGCTGAAGGTGAAATCAACATGTAATTCCTTGGTCAGTTTTTATGCTCCCCCTCACCCCATTTTGGTTTCATTTCACTCTGAATATGTCCACACAACAAGCTGATTCTTTGTTTGCTTATGTCATGAGACTATCAGGGAATCAGGTGAATTAGAACTTGAAAAGTTTAGCTTATCTAAAGTTCATTTTTAATATCTTTACCAATTGTTCTTCCAGTTCAACTCATAACTTAGTGTATTTTAGTGAAGCAAAAATAAAATGAAGTAAAAGTAAGCCTGCAAGTTTAATTTTAATGCCTAAATTTCTGGTTACTGGAAGGAATAAACTAGAACTAAAGAAGGAGGGATTAAATATACTAATCCTAGCTTTACCAAAAATTTATTATTATGACAAGGAAGGCACTATATGTGTATCAAATGAGAAAAAATATCAATATGGAATTCAGAAATTGCAGATATTAGCAAAGAGCTAATAATACAACTTAGTAATGACTGCATGCTTCTTTCTACAATTACTTAAATGTTAAGTACCTCAAACCTAAATGAGGCATACTTTTGCCTTTTTTTCCCTCACACTGCCTCAAAAAACAGGAAGTCATAGATTGTTTATCCTTAATATCATTTATGTATTCATCTAATTGTAAGACTTTATTATTATTCTAGAAGTGAAAGCTAAATTATATTAAAATTAACAGGCAACCAAACTTTTATCAAACTAAATGGGAGTACAGAATTAAATTCAACAAATGTTTTGTGTGTCTACTACCTGCTGGACAGAGGTACGTACAACTCATTCTCTACCATTAGTGAATTTAGTCCATTAGTGAATTTAGTCTAATGAAACAGAATTAAGAACATTAGAAAGAAATAAAAGAAACATCCCCCACACTAACATCACCAAGAGATCAGAAATTCTGAAACTATGAAAAACAGCTTCACAATTTTTTCAGGTATATGCTATGCATGTCCATATATAGATATATAGATATATATACACACACACACACACATATATATATATATATATTTTTTTTTTTTAAGAGACAGGCAGGGTCTTGCCTTGTTCTGTTACTCAGATTAGAGTGCAGTAGCATGGTCATAGCTCACTGTAACCTTCAACTCCTGGTCTCAAGTGATCCTCCATCTCCCAAGTAGCTAGGACTACAGGCATGTACACCATGCCTAGCTAATTTTTTATTTTTATTTTTGTAGACAGGGTCTTACAATATTGCCCAGGCTGGTCTCAAACTCATGACCTCAAGTGATCCTCCCTCCTCAGCCTCCCAAAGTGCTGGATTATATGCATGAGCCACTGCTCCTGGCCCAGATTTTTTTAAAAATAGAAAAATTCAATTACATTGCTTTGTAATCCTTTATGACTATTTCTACCACTCCATATCAATTAGTATATTAACACTTAAAGACTACCATTTTGGTTTGTTTTAGAAATAGGGTCTCACTTTGTCACCCAGGTTGAAAGTGCAATGGTGCAATCACAGCTCATTGCAGCCTCCAACACCAGATTCCTGGCCTCAAGGGGTCCTTCCACCTCAGCCTCCCAGCTAGCAGGAACTACAGGCATGTACCACCACACCCAGCTATTTTATTTTTTTAAATAAAATTCTTTTTTTTTTTTTGAGACAGGGTCTCACTCTGTTGCCCAAGCTGGAGTGCAGTGGCACAATCTTGGCTGACTGTAGCCTCTGCCTCCCGGGTTCAAGCAATTCTCCCACCTTAGCCTCCCAAGTAGCTGGGACTACAGGAACATGCCACCATGCCTGGCTAATGTTTGGTATTTCTAGCAGAGACAGGGTTTTGCCTTGTTGGCCAGGCTGGTCTCAAACTCCTGACCTTAAATAATCCTCCCACCTCAGTCTCCCAAAGTGCTGGGATTACAGGCATGAACCACCACGCACGGCCAAAAATCACCATTTTTAAGGAGCTACATAGTATTAATTGCAAAGATGTGCCAAAATCTGCCTAACCAGCAACCTGTTGCCAAATGCTCATGGTTACTTAATTTGGTGGCATGATGGGGAGGACTGTCAGGAAAAAACGACAGCTAAAATTATTAACAGCTGTAAACTTAGCCCAGATGCTTCGTAAAGCCAGCTAGGAGTTCCTCTCCAAACACACACGCACACACACGCACCCCAAATTTCTAGAAGAAAAGGTTTAACGTCATGTTACCCTTATCATCTGTGGTCAGTCTCTTCCTCTGCCTGCTACTGTCCAGGCCTTAGTATTAATTTTATCCTAAACTATTTGTAGTAACTTTTCCTGACTTCCATCTCTGCTCATTCCAAATCCTACATATCTCTACATAAAACTTCCTGAAGGAAAATATAACCTCCCTGCTAGAAGACTACCTAATCTCAATTATTTGAGAGTAAATATTGTCAAATTTAGTATTTAATACTTTGGGCAATCAATTTGAATGACATAACCATTAAACCACCTCCCAATGTTTTCATCTGCTACTTTCTTTCAAACATCCTCCAGTAAAATCCTAATAATCAGTTATCTGAACAGCCTCCAACTTTCTACTCTATTATCTATGCTGCTCTCTCATCAGAAATGCACATCAAAGTACCACTATTTACAGATACAGAATCACAGATCTGAAAGGGAACGTAGAGATATCCTAGTCTACTCACCTTAATTTGCAAAGTAAAAATTACTACCATTTATGCAAGAGCCCACAAAACCCCCATTCTAGCATTCTTTCCATTACACAGTGTTTCTCAAATTCCTGTGTGCCCAACAATCAAGTCAATAGTTATTAAAAAGCAAACAAAGATTCTAGAGCCCCATTCTCAAAAATTTTGTTCTTGTAATTCAAGTTAGGACCAGAACTCACATTTTTTTTTTTACAAAGTACTTCAGGTGATGCTAAAGCAAGGTGGGGGGCATGGGCAGTGTCAAAGCTTTGTATCACAGGAAATAACACATCAAGAATACACTGAATATAACAAGAATATAGCAATCAGTATATCATCTGAAATTTCTCATTTCTTCCCCTTATGCTAAAACATCCAAATAAAACAGTTACTCACTGCTACTTGTGCTGAATCCATAAATCTCAGACCAAAATAGTCGCTTTCAATAAGGTCCAGGTGGTACATAATCTGATCAAACAACTCTTGTCCTTTGGCTTTTTTCTGAAATGGCAAGAAAATAAGTAAATCATTAAGTGGCTTATAAGATCAACACTCCTGAACAAAAGATGGTTTTAGTTATACAAGATCTCTTGAAGAAAGGAGGACTTGCAATACCAAAAGTATTACTATATAGCAGATAATGGATAAGACATTACAGTTTTCTAGTAAATCACTTAAGGCCAAAACAAATTTGTGATCTATATGTTCTCCTGGAGAGTTACTTCCAATCAACCAACAAAAATTACCTTTGAGGTACAAATATTTGTGTGTGTAAGGATAAATTCCTGTGTTGTCATCAATTTTTAGAGTCCCTACTTTAAAAGGGCCATAACATCACCAGAAAAAGAAAACACACAAAAAAAGGAAGAGTACTTTAGTAGAAAATATGTCAAACTACACTTGCAAATAGATTTTAGAGAAGAGACAGAAACTAGAATAATCAGTGAAGGTTTGATGGAAAAGAATCAGTCAGACTGGAAGAGAACGTAAGGTAAGAAATAATAAAACTGGGAGGCAGGAGGGAATATGAAATCATAAGATCTCATAACTACTGTGATGATACAGAAGACACCAAACAGTAGCTTAATAAATAGCTAAGAAACTTTGTATGGAAAAAGCCATTCTCAAAGTGTGGTCTCAAGATCACCGAGGATTTCCAAGACCCTTTCAAAAGATTCGCAATGTCCTAGGCTTCTCATATACCTGAAACAAAATAACACTTTGCAACACAGTGAACATAGAAGCATATAAGAGAACCCAAGTACCTTCTTTTTTTTTTTTTTTTTTAGGAGATGGGGTTTCACCATGTTGGTCAGACTGATCTCAAACTCCTGAACCCAGGTGATTCACCCACCTCAGCCTCCCAAAGTTCTGGGATTACAGGTGTAAATCACCTCGCCTGGCCTAGAACCCAAGTACCCTCTATTAAGCCAGACATGAAACAGATTTGCAGCCAGGCGCAGTGGCTCACACCTGTAATCCCAGCACTTTGGGAGGCTGAGGCAGGTGGATCACCTGACGTCAGGAGTTCAAGACCAGCCTGACAAACATGGAGAAACCTCCGTCTTTACTAAAAATACAAAATTAGCCAGACATTGTGGTGCATGCCTGTAATCCCAGCTGCTCAGGAGGCTGAGGCAGGTGAATTGCTTGAACACAGGAGGCAGAGGTTGTAGTAACCCAAGATCATGCCATTGGGCAACAAGAGTGAAACTCTGTCTCAAAAAAAACAAAAAACAGATTTGCAAAGCAAATGTGCTTCAAACAATGAAACTCTTCTAAGCTTTTTGTTGTTTTGGAAAATAGTTACTTTTATAACATGCTTTATATTATGTTAACATACAAGGGGTATGTTGTTGCTATATTAATAGATGTTAATTATTGATTGATCAGTTAATCAATAAATATTTTTAAATTTTTCAGTTTTAATTTCTAATATTGTAACTATTGGTAGATATAATCCACATAAGCAAAAGCATTGTTGGGATCCTCAATTTTCATAATTGCTTATCCATGCCCCTCCCATATATAGAATTCTAAATCACAATTTAGAATTCTACATATGGGAGGGGCATGGATGGTATTTCCTATTAAAAAATGAACATATAGTTGGATTGTTTATATCAATCTCTGCCTTTTAACTGACAGGTTTATTTCAACTTGTCCTTTGCTTTTTCTATGCTTCTTTTTAAATCTTTTCTTTTAGATAAGTAAATCCGTCATCTATATTTCCTTTTATCAAGACAAGAACTCTACCATGCCCTCATGTCCTCTAATCTCCCCTCCACTCAATTCCCATCAAGTTTTACAGATATACTTCTATTTTTTTTCTTTATTCTTAGCTAATTTTTTAAAGACAACAACTTCTACTTGGGTATTTCAACACCTTTAAGTTCACATGCCTTACACATGTACATTACATGTCTTGTAGCATCTGCCAGATTTGCAAATACTCAACTTATTTGAGTTCTTTCTCCAAATATGCTTCCCACGTGGGTTTTGTACAGCTTATCTTCTCAGGCCTTGGCCTTTCTATATTTCGGAATATTTTCACCAACCCCTCACACTCGAATGACAGTTGTATGGATAGAAATGTCAAGGATAATAGTTTCTTTCAATACTTTCTATAATACTCAAAAAAATATTATTCCATTATCTTCTTGAGTCAACACTGCTGTTGATAAGCATGATGTCAATCTCATTTTTGTTCCTTTGTAATGTTACTTGTTCACTTTTAGACTCTTCTCTAATAGTCTTTAATTTCACTGTACTGTGTACAAGTGGGTGTTTTTCTTAATTATATTGTATTCTATCTGGTCCTCTTCAATCTGAGATCTTTCAACTTTCTTTAATTCTAGACATCAACCTCTATTCTATTGTTTTCTCAAATATTTCTCCTTTGTCATTTTAAGTTTCCTACATTAATGGTGGCACCTTTTATTTTTAGCATACATTAATTATCCATTTAACAATACATATAACAGACAAAAGTTCGGAAAGCTTTAGTAATATGACAAAATTACATTAAAAACAATGACAAGGCTAGAATTTTAATTTTGCTATATCTTCCAAGTTCAAATTCACTGAGGATTACCTACCTCATCTAGATTTCACCTGAAATGTCACCTGAGATCAGTAAGTCAGATACCCCACTTCTCACGCAACTTCTTCTAGCTCATTCACAAAATTACTTTCAATGCCTAAGTTCTCCAACCACATGGGAAATTTCCAGTACACTGACCCAACTTCGCAGGCATCAGCCTTATTTCTCCTTTTTTTTAAAAGTATAACACAATTTTCCACATTAACTATTTTTAAGTATAAAATTCAGTGCCATTAAAAATATTCACCATGTTGTACAACTGTCACCACTACCCATTTCCAGAACTCATCACTATCCCAATCAGAAACACTATACCCATTAAAAAAATCATTTTCCACTTGCCCTCATCATTACCCCTAGTAATCTCTCTCCCATTAATACTTTCTGTCTCTATGAATTTACCTATTCCATGTATCTCTCATAAGTATAATCAGACAATATTTGTCCTCTTATTTCTGGCTTATTTCACTCATAATGTTTTCAAGGTTCATCCGTGTTATAAAATATAACAAAATTTCATTCCTTTTTAAAGCTGAAAAATATTCCATTGCATGTAAATACCATTTTGTTTACTTCCTCAAGTCCTAATACACATTGGGGATTTCTCCACCTTTTCCGTTTGGAATAAGGCTACACGAACACTGATGTTTAAGTATCTGTTTGAATCTCTGCTTTCAACTCTTCCTGGTATACACCTAGGAGTACAATTGTTGGGTCATATGGTAATTCTATGTTTAACTATTTTTATATTTTTTTATTTTTTCCGAGACGTCTCACTCTGTGGGTCAGGCTGGAGTGCAAGGGTGTGATCTAGGCTCACTACAACCTCCGCACCTGGTGTTAAAACAATTCTCGTGCCTAAGCCTTTCGAGTAGCTGGGACTAAGGAGCACCACCATGCCAGGCTAATTTTTGTATTTTTAGTAGAGATGGGGTTTTGCCATGTTGGCTAGGCTGGTCTTGAACTCTTTGCTTCAAGCCTGTCAAGTGCTGGTATTCCAGGTGTGAGCCACTGCATACAGTCATATGTTTAACTTTTTGAGAAACTGTCACTTATCTACAGTGACAGCACTATTTTACATTCCCTCTAAAAACGTATAATAATTCCAGTTTCTCCACATCCTTGCCAACATTTGTTACTTTCTCTTTTACTTTTTAAAAATAGCCACCTGACCGGGTGTGGTGGTCATGCCTGTAATCCCAGCACTTTGGGAGGCTGAGGCAGGAGGATTACCTGAGGTCAGAAGTTCAAGACCAGCCTGACCAACATGGTGAAACCCCATCTCTTAAAAAATATATATAGCCACCTGATGGGTTTGAGTAAGTCTCTCTCATTGTAGCTCTGACTCAAATTTCCCTACTGATTAGTGATGATGAAAATATTTTGATGTGCTTATTAATAGGTATTAGTATATGTGCACTGATTAGTACTGCATTTTAATATGTGCATTGATTTTAATGCCTATTCAAAATATGCATTTACTATATATCAATCAGCATGCCATTGTAATCTGTGTTAATATCTCACTGCATATATGAATGTATCATAATTTCTTTATCCAGTCCCACATTGGTAGATTTCTGATGTGTTTCTACACTGTGGCTTTTACAAACAGCTTCAGTGAATATTCTTGCACTTATATTTTGGCAAGTTTTTGTAAATATCTCCAAAGGATAAATTCTGAGTGAATTTCTAGATCCCATGTATATGCCCTGTTAATCTTTGTAGATTGCAAAGATTACAAAATTTCCTTCCAAAAAGGTCAAATCAATCTGTGCCCCAATTACGGTATGATAATGATAATGATTTCTCCACAATCTCATAGGAGTGAGTATCCTCAAACTTTTCAGGGAAGAAAATAGTACGTCCTCATTGTTTTGATTTACATTACATTAGGAGTGAGATTACCCTTTCTTCTTCTCTCCCTGTCTTTTGTCATCTGCTTTTATATTTTACCAATTTTCCTATTTGATTTTTTCCATGAATTGATTTTTATATATTCTAAACCAAGAAAATTAATCTTCTCTGTTTAGTATGTTGTGAATATCTTCTCCTGGACTGTCATCTTCTTATTTTAAGATACATTAAATAAATTTAACTATGATTTCTTCTAAAATTTTCAGGTATTTTTAAGTGGCATGTTATG